ATTCTTCAATTTTCTAACATAAAACGTAACAAAACTAGTTTTGAATTTTACTTGGACCTTTTCAATCATAAAATAAATAATTAATCGGTAAATCCTAACGCATTCTACAGTCAGTTGAAATATACAATAATGTAATGAACCATAATTAACGGAGTCATATAAAAATCGGAAAGACCACAATTAATAAATAATAAAATAAATCACCGAAAACGGTATAACTTTTTTAACGATGCCGGATCGCGGAAATACCTTCTCACATTTTTCATGGAAGTTCGACATTGCTTTACTTTCCTATTATGTGCGTCCTATTATGTTTGCTCTATTATGTTCTCTATTTTCTTTCGTTCGAGCATTTTGCTCGTATAAGGAGCATTTCTGTCTATTCTCGCGAGGATGAAAGCGTTGCATTCGCGGAATGCCGGGGAAGTGTCATCTCGGCTGATATATGAAGGCGGGCATCATCGCGAGGAATGAAAAGCGGTCTTTATGACCTCTTAGCAAATCCCTCTTGGTAGTAGGATAAGTACACCCTATTGACCCGAAAAGAGTCACTGGGGACGAAAAATCCATAGCTATCGAAAGAACTTTCTACGCGCTCGTAGGACATAAGGAATAACGATCGAGGAAAGCAGCTTTAAGAATGCAGGAGGGAGTAGAAACTCTTGATACAAACGCAGCAGATTGATAATATCCGACGGAGATAAAAGGGAATTGAGGGCTTTAATAAATAAATAGACTTAAAAATTGACTCAATACTCATAAAATATTATTTCATAAATGTAGTTCTTCAATAAATTAAAAAATATGTTTTATATTATTGAAGATTTATCATCAAATTCGCCTTTTTGTAAGCAAAAATAATCAAGACAGGATATTAATTTAATTTTACGCGACAGCGCGTACGTGGTTTGTAAAATGCAAACACGTTTCGATGTCAAAACTGACGTCAAACTGACAAATCGCGATCTGTCCGGGACTCTGTGCGGGATTTCAAAGGGGATTTGTGTTCGCGGATATATACAAAAGAATTCTATGGGTTGGAGAAACAAGAATATTTACGAGACTTAAGAGATCAAAGACAGCAGAATTGCATTGGGAGAAGGAAAACGGAAAGAAATTGATATTTCGATCGAGTCGAGCAGGTGGAAATACACATCGCGGAAATACAGTAATCCGTTACGTTCCTTCTAAACGTTTTCTGAATGGTAAATAAAAATAGAGAAATCAATGTATGTACGATTGTGATGGAATAGCTCGGTGAGTTTCTTGAGATTTGTCGACTGCATTAAAATTATATCTTATTAACTATCAGGAATATATGAATTCCCAAAATTATAGTAATGGCATTTTATTTTTGGAAATATTAATCTTATGGCTACATTCTTTCTGTAAAATTTGTGATTAGTGAAAATAGAAGATAATTTAGAATTTGAAAAAAGTATTTATATGATAAAATAATATTAAATACTATTAAAATACTAAAAATATTTATATAATAATACATTATATTACAGAAAGATAAAGAATTACAATATTTTTCTCATTGAACTACAAAGATTATTAACAACACTGACAATTTGATTATAGACCGTTTATCTATTTTTAAATCTTTGACTATATAAATATGGACTGCTAGTTTCCCTACTTTTACTATGTAAAAGACATATGCCCGGTATCGCTGAGCTGAAGTTGGTTGAAGAATCGAACTTCGATTTTTAGGCTCCACCCCAGTCAGTAAAAAAATGTCAAATGTATCAAAATGTATCAAATGTTGAAAATTGATAGGGAGCCGGAAAAAATCTCAAAATCAAACTTCGATTTTTAGGCTCCACCCCAGTCAGTAAAAAAATGTCAAATGTAACAAAATGTATCAGATGTTATGTTGAAAATTGATAGGGAAAAAAACTCAAATCAACGGAGAGGAATTAAAAACAGACTCAATACCTTTCCTTTATACATTGTAAACACGCTGATTTGACAGGAACCTCCCCCCTCCCTGCAGAAAATTACTGACTGGGGTAGAGTTTACATTTTCCAGTTTGACGACACGTATGAAGTTTATAATTACTATCAGTCCATACTTATATAGTCAAAGTTTTAAACGTGTTGATTCTATTATACATTTTTTTACGTGTTCAGAATTAATAATAATCCTTTTGTTTTATTGCAACGTTTCTTACCGTGCAAAAAGTTCGTTGAGCAATCTGACGAGCTCTTCGGCAGTGCATTGATCGGAGAGCGAGGTGAATCCACAGATATCGGCGAACAAAATGCTGAAATATTTATAATAATAGTAAATTTATTTTACAATTAAATTAATTTTCTCGAAACGGATATTCCCTGAATAAGCACTTTTGGTCGAGAGTTCTGTAATTACTTTGGCTTTAACGCGGCCTGAAACCGGTCGCGGGAAAGTGTCGAGTCGAGTCATTTTGGAAAGAGGAAACTGGGAACGGGAAAAATTGTCACAAGTTCGCGCAAGCTCGGTTGAAGTTAAATGAACATGACATTTGCTCTTTGCGAATTCGCCGATTAAGTTAGATTGACCTGGGCTTGGGTGAGACGTTTGATACGAGAGATCGGATACGTAACATCTCAACCCACTCGCGACCAATCTAGAATTCTCTCTATGCAGCCACGTGTGTGCTTATCGTATTGCGTGCACGGCACCGTGATATAAATCGTCAAGTTTTGAAGGCATCTGGCGCGAGTGCATTATGAAGCGATCATGCATATATCATCGCGCATAATGTGCTCACGATATAGTGTAATTATTTGTAACAATCACAGTGACGTGATGTTGTAGGTAATAATCGGTGTAAATTGTAACTAAAGTAACGTTCTCCAATTTGCGATTTAATTACAATTAACTCTGCGTCCGATTAAACGTGGCGTGCGCTTCACAAGGAGTTCGAATTCGAAGGGGGGAGGGGGGGTTCGGATTTTACGACGGGGGAAAAAAATATTCGCGCCGCGAACAAGGATTACAAAGTTTTAACCTGCTGCGCGAATTTTGCAGTTTAAGTTAGCGAGCATGCATGCGAGGGGACATAACGTAATGTATAAAATGTTATGTAAATTCTTTTGCGAAGCTCGGAGAACAAAGTGGAACTGGGTCTCATTTGCAAAATGTCAAAGTGGCATTTTTTCGAAGTGACACTTCGGCTCTTTTTAAGCGGTGCGCGTTCTTTAAGTGGCTGTTACCCGTTCGCGGGCCATCGGCGCGACATACCTGACATTCTCATGTCTTTGAATATAAATTTTGTGAAACATCGTGTCCTTCGGCTTTCCGGCTATATCGGCTTTCATCTCCATGGCGACGTGTCTCGGTAATACGCTGAGCAAAAGCCTCTCCTGAAAAAATATAAGTTATGGTTAACGTTATTTACACTTGGCTTTAATTTAAAATCATTAAAAATAGCGATGATAAGATTATTATTATATTATTATTTATATAATATGTAGATACTTTTCAGACGTGAAACAAGCAAAAAGTAGATAAAATTCAATGCTATATATATGTACATAATAATTAAAATGCAATTTTCTTCAGTTAATTTATTTTTATAATAATCCCATTAATTATGCGATACAATTCATACTTCTCTCGTAATGTTATGATAAATAACATAATTTAAAATAATTGAACATTTTCTTAGATTTATCGGTTTGTTACTGCTGCATCAAACAAATTCTTATATATACATAGTAACGGATTAATAGCCGTTATTAAATTAATTTATCGGAATAGATCTCATATCCTCTTAAGGGACCCTTGGAGTCCCGAGGAGGAGCATAATGGATAGGCCAGCTTGAGGGGGGGACATGCAGGTTAATATAGACATAAGAGCTAAAGTGCGTTATTCAATAACTACTATGCCCTATTAATCCACGATGCACGTGTACGCTTGTTATACGTGCATAGATATACTTCGTCTTACGTCGTAACTTTCCTTAAGTTTAATTGCAGACTCTCGCGAATGATTTCAAGTCGATTTGTTGATGATTGCTTGATAATGAAATCTTTGATACATTCTGGAACTGTGCGAGCGACCAAAAATTAAGAAAATTTTCACAAACATGTACGTCGCAATTGAATAATAAAACTGATTTGAGTATGAATGTAATTATTTATATCAAAATGGATCTTTTAATGGACGCTTTACAGAATCTCAACGCGACGTTCAGTCGAAATTTTCTCAGCCGCGAAATTATTTAATTTAAATTATGCTACTATTTATATATTTGCTTTCAGTACAGCGGGGTTAATTTAAACAGTCGAGACATTTGGATAATAGTAAGTATTTGCAAGAATTTCCGAAAAATAAGAAATTTTAAGATACATTTCATTATATTATTAAGCATTATAAAAAAAGAATGCTCGATTGAATTGGAGCAAAGAGAGCGTGGAATAAGCCATTACAGCTGTCATTGACGGTGATCTCTGTTTTATAAGTTGCACAACTATTTAATGTTCCTTACAGAAAATACAATCTAAACAAAAACAAATATAGTAAAAATGAAGTTCCCAGAACTTCTATTGGGCATCTCGCTGTGTTTAGCAAACTTTAAAAAACTTTAGAAAAAATTAAATAAGCCAGAGATTACTCTTACTAATTTCTGTTTAATTTTGTCTGAAAAGTGCAATTTAATATTTAACACAATAGCTAAATATATAACGTTTTGCTTTTATTATAACATCAATGTTAAAAAGTTCATTTATGTTCGTCGTACTTAAAATATTGGCACTAACATGATCATTTTATGTTTTTTATGAATTTGTGTTCAATTTGATCTGGAAGATATAATAAAGTGTTCAAGAAAACATTTAAATATAAGATTTGGTTTTTATTGTAATGTTAAATGTTCATTTTTAATGTTATTAAAATGACCCCTCTCAAAATTGATTTTCGTTAAAATTGTATGGGTAAATCGTATCGGGCATTGCGTCTCAAGATTTAAAAAATAATTTTTCATAAATTAAGTATTTTTTTTATTAATTAAATTTTTTTAATTATAGTTTTCTGATATATATTTAATTTAAGGATAAAATTATTACTTTTCGAGAAATTGTTCAAAAAGTTTGAAATTATTCAAATTACTCCGTTGCACCCCATTTCTTAACGTCTCGAGATTTTTCGCGAAATCCGGCATTAAATATCGCGAGAAGCGTCACGTTGCACGCGCTCGCGGATATTCCCACGATTGTCGATTGAAAACTACCGCGGTCTCGCGGTGCTAAAGCGGAAGAGTCAGCTCTCTCTCTCTCCGATTCCGATAGCCGGTAATCTTTTCTATTCCGCGGAGATCATGTATACACATCGGGCTGACACGGCCCCGGTTAACGCACACGGGCGAGAAACATGCAGCGGGCGGCGTTGCATTGTTCGTAGAACGTTAGAACTCGTCAACATCGTGGGAACCTCTCAAGTGCAGGCAAAGTCGACGACGCGTTCGACAAGCTTTGCGTTGATGGTCGATACATGGCGCGCGGACGTAGTGTTGTGTGCGCTTTTAGAATCTGCATCGCAATGTGCTAGCCCACGTGTAATATAGACACGTCGCAGTTCGATTCCGATTCTATAGCATCACAATTATTTTTATCGTGTTGCTGCGTGCTCGAATCGTCTCGCCGACGAGCGTCAGTTTAGTACGAGCGATTAGGAATCGAAATAGAGAATTTTTATTAAATATTAACAAGAAGAGAAAGGAGTTGATATATAGGAGATGCTAGAGAGGAGGTGCAAGAAGACTCGAACAATATAGAAAACAGAATAGATATACAAGATACACAGTCGAATCTCGATAACTCGAAAATTTCTATAAGACAAAAATTTTGTTTATTCCCTTCCGCTCCACTGCGGAAAACCTCTATAAATCGAAATAAAACCTACCTTAACTCGAATTATTTATCAGGTATTTAGATATATTATTTTACCTCTGCAATTCGAATTTAAAGTAGCCAGATCTCTACAAGTCGAACTTCTATTGTCGCTGCCTCTATAATTCGAAGTTGTAGTTATATGTAACCATGAGTAATATAGTCTGGTATTTTGTTTTATGATTATATTTATTATATGTATGCAATGAATATAATCGCTGTAAAATATTGATTTCTTTTTTTTTTTAAAGCCATTATAATTGGAAAATTATATAAACTCTCGTACAAAGTCTCCGTAAGTCAAATTTTCATATTTTAACCATCTTTTACTCGAATTTCGATAAGTTGAAAACTTCATAATTCAAAGGGTCTTTCTCTTCCCTTGAGATTCGAGTTATCGAGATTAGACTGTATTATTTTACCTCTGCAACTCGAATTTAAAGTAATTAGACCTCTACAAGTCAAACTTCTATTGTCGCTGCCTCTATACAATTCGAAGTTGTAGTTATATGTAACCATGAGTAATATAGCCTGGTATTTTGTTTTATGATTATATTTGTTATATGTATGCAATGAATAATCGCTGTAAAATATTGATTTCTTTTTCTTTAAAGGCCATTATAATTGGAAAATTATAAACTCTTGTACAAAGTCTCCGTAAGTCGAATTTTCATACTTTAACCATCTTTTACTCGAATTTCGATAAATTGAAAACTCCATAATTCAAAGGGTCTTTCTCTTCCCTTGAGATTCGAGTTATCGAGGTTAGACTGTATTATTCTATCTCTGCAACTCGAATTTAAAGTAGCCGGATCTCTACAAGGTTTACCTCTATAAGTCGAACTTCTATTGTCGCTATCTCTGTAATTCGAAGTTGTAGTTATGTGTAACCATGATCGGTATTTGTTTTATGATTATATTTGTTATATGTATGCAATAAATAATTCACTGTCAAAAATAGATTTTTTTCCTTTAAAAACCATAATAATCATTATAAACACTTCGAAAAATTAAACTCTCGTACAAAGCCTCCGTAAATCGAATTTTCATATTTTAACCATCTTTTACTCGAATTTTGATAAGTTGAAAATTCCATAATTCAAAGGGTTTTTCTCTTCCCTTGAGATTCGAGTTATGGAGGTTAGACTGTATTATTTTACCTCTGCAACTCGAATTTAAAGTAACCGGACCTCTACAAGTCGAAGTTTATCTCTATAAGTCGAACCTCTATTGTCGTTACCTCTATAATTCGAGTTGTAGCTATGTGTAATAGCCTGGTATTTTGTTTTATGATTACATTATATAAATGCAATAAATAATCCACTGTCAAATATTGATTTTTTTTCCTTTAAAAACCATAATAATAATCATTAAATTAAAAAATTAAACTCTCGTACAAAGCCTCCGTAAGTCGAATTTTCATAACCATCTTTTTTAACCATCTTTTACTCGAATTTCGATAAGTTTATAACTCGAAGGGTTTTTCTCTTCCCTTGAAATTTGAATTATCGAGGTTTGATTGTATATGATATGTGATAATAAAGAGTGTGATCAATAAAGGAACCAGTAATAGAATAGAATAGAATAGTTTAGGAAATATATTGTATATTACTAAGGATTGACGAATAGGAAAATAAATAGGTATAAAGTGGAGGGATAAATATAGACAAAGGCGATAAATAATTAGGAGTAAGAATAGGTTGGAAGAATTTAAGCTAGTCAGTGGCAATAGAATGCAAAACATACACAGCGATAGGATAAGGGGTGGATGGATGAGTGCGGTTAAGTATTTTATGTAAATCAAGTCTCTTCATGGCAATGTATAAGCTGAAGTAAATAAACATTTATCTATCGTGAATATTAAATATACACAAATAGGAAATATAATTAGGAAGAGAATTGATGTTGTCATGGGTGTCTAAATCTAAATGGATTATATATTTCGAGAGAAGTTTCACTTGGGAACTATAAATTTACATATTCAATCCCGGAACTCGGACAGCCATTTTTTCGGCCTTCGTTCTTCTCTCGGAGTTGATTCTTCCAATATTGATTTCTTCAATATCGTCCATCTTTAGCTCTAGTTTAACTGAGATATATTATTCTTTTCAGAATCAAGATTAAGAATTAAGGACAAAAAACGATGAATGAAATTATTTCGTTTTATCAATATTAACTCAGATCGAAGAAGAAGAAGAATGACTTATATAAGAGTAAAAGAACAGTCGAATAAGTATCGTGTCCGATTTACTGCTGTTTTGCAGTGAGCGAATGTGGTTTGCTTTGTCGTTCTTGGTCGATCAAACCGATCCTCGTTCATCAGAGAGAAAGACGAGACACCAGCAGAGTTCGGTGCATGTTCATCGCTGTTGAACGCATACGTTCTCGACGTCGTGGCTCGATGACGGTGTGTCGCGTATACGGGATGAACGTGGGCGATCAACGAGCAAGCGTGAACAATAGCCGATTGATA